AAAGACTGATGCAGCAAACAACAATGATAGGATTTCTAAAAAAGAAAAAAGCCATGGAAGTGTCCGAAGAATCAGTAGTTGAGGTGAACAGTCAGTAGTGGAGTCATCGATCAATACCAGTGTGGATTGTATCATGCCAAGCACATCTACATTTGTACAGCATCAATTCCAATGGAAACACTACCCATTGAAAGTAAAAGCACACGTCCTGTTCTGTCCCTTAAAATTCTTGGCGTTTTGGCCTTTTCCAAAAATTGCTATTTTTGAGGAGATATATCCCAGAGAATGTTGAAATAGTATTTCAGAGCCTCTCGATTTCAAAATTTTCTGGAAGAGCATGCCCCCAGACCCCCCTAGAGGCTCGTGCCTTCAGCACTCAAAATCATGGTGTCAACCATCTACTTCGTCACGCAAGGCATCTACTCCCTAAATTAATGAGAACCCTTTCTAAGGACATGTACTCACAAGTGATCCACGCTCAGCTCTGTAACTGATTCCATCTTTTGGTCCAATAACCACATCCACAGCAATTGTCCACCCAGTCTGGAGAAAAAGAATTATTGAATAACTCAAACATACAGGTAAGTTTTAGAGAACCACCACTTATACATTACAGGATTTTTGCCTATTAACAACACAAAACAAGAGGTTTATTTTCTAACACACTGCTTGAATTTCATACTTGTCAACTTCATTTGAGAATCACTAAATCACAACCCAAGGTGATGAGTTCTCATATAGCACACATTTCATGATTTTCTTGTGGCTTTTTTACATTTATGAAAGAGAGGGATTACACATCAGCTAATGAAAGTACCTCTGGCTGCCACTGTGTAACTATTAAATTACAGTTCAACCCCTATTAAACAGCCACCCCTGGAGAAATGGATAGTGGTCGCTTAAAGTGGGCTGGCCTTTTAATAGAGGTAAAACAATAGAGAAGCCCTCATTGGGACTTTGATTACTGGCTGCCCAATAGGGGTAGCTGCTTAATAGGAAATTGTTGCTGAAATACCATTTTGATACTTGATTCTTACCTGAAGCAGAATGAAGTGTATTCACTTACCCCAAGAGAGCACCTGAATGACTCCAGTTCAAACCGGTGAAGTTTGGAAAGAATCTCGAAAAAGGTATAACAGCATTCCACCTCACTCAAGGATGCATATTGCTTGAAATACGCATGAATTGTTTTCCGTAAATGCTTGGACTAAAATGAAGAAAAAGAAATGTTAATATTTATTAGTATTAAGTAAAGCAGGATTCTATAAGAAGGCATCTGCCACTAGAGTCCTAACACCAGAAACACATTTTTAGTACTTTGTGATAACATTACCTAGTTCAGGGCTTCACAGCTCAGACACCTGTAGCAATCAAGGCCATCATTGCATTCTGATTGGCTTTTGAAAGCCATAATTTAACAACCATTCAAAGTGCCAGCTGGGAAAATGTGGTTCTTATGAATTCGTCATGTAATTGGACGAGTGAGTGAAGTTAGCAAGTAGATTGTATATATAGAGAGAGNCCTGAAGCAGAATGAAGTGTATTCACTTACCCCAAGAGAGCACCTGAATGACTCCAGTTCAAACCGGTGAAGTTTGGAAAGAATCTCGAAAAAGGTATAACAGCATTCCACCTCACTCAAAGATGCATATTGCTTGAAATACGCATGAATTGTTTTCCGTAAATGCTTGGACTAAAATGAAGAAAAAAAAAATGTTAATATTTATTAGTATTAAGTAAAGCAGGATTCCATGAGAAGGCATCTGCCACTAGAGTCCTAACAACAGAAACACATTTTTAGCACTTTGGGATAACATTACCTGGTCCAGGGCTTCACAGCTCTGACACCTGTAGCAATCAAGGCCATCATTGCATTCTGATTGGCTTCTGAAAGCCATAATTTAACAACCATTCAAAGTGCCAGCTGGGAAATGTGGTTCTCATGAATTTGTCATGAAATTTGAGGAGGAGTGGGTGAAGTTAGCAAGTAGACTGTATATATATGGAGAGGATATTACACGGTGGTGAGAAGATATGAATTTTATGTTCGAGTGGGAAGAACATGTCTCA